ACCAGGGAGGGCCGAGGCGCAGCTATTTTTAAGAGCTTCCTTTTTAAGACTATATCTGTTTGAAGTAACTTACTAAATGAAATTAGTAAATTCCATAAATATTTTTCTTTTACACAATCAGCAGGTAGAGTAAAAACCAAATATTAGAAACCAGGCTCAAAATTATGTTTTCAGACTTCTGTATGGTAAAGTAATGGTTGTCTACAAATATTTTAGTGTTTTTCCTCTTACTTCTAAAAGTAATCTTTATTAAAGTAATTCCAAAAATTAAAATAGAAGGAATGTATAGGGTTTCTTCCAGTATTCATTGAAACATGATTCTAATTTTATGTAAACTATAGTATCCATCCTGCTGTAGGCACTGGCGGTGAATGTGGTGTGGTAATATACATGTGGAGAGTTGTGAATCATATACATGTTATAAACAAAGCCTATTTTCATATACATGTTATAAACAAAGCCTACTTTAAGAGAAAGATAATATAAAACAAATGAATTTTGCATAATAAAAATACATTTCTTTCAAAAATTAATATTTAGCTGATATAGGAAATTAACCATTGTTGCTCAGTGTTTAATTTAGTGTCACTTTGTTTTATTGATAGTTGTCATTCTATAAAAGTTCATTTAAATTATGAGATATTTCCTTAGCATAAGTGGAATCCTGAAGCAAAGGAAAACATTTCTAAGCTTACGTATTTTTTGGATTAGTTTAAATATGGGTATGTGAAAAAGTATGTGAAGACTATAACTTTTCTGAAAATCTAGAGAGATAAAGTAGTTTGTTTTTAGTAGCACATGTAGTATCCAGTATTAGTATAGGGTTTTGTAGTTGTAGAACCAAACAATGATGATACCCACTCCTTTTACCTCAGATCATTAAACTTCTGATAACTTCTTATATCTCTTTCTTCACACCTATCCCTCCATAACATTGTATAGATTTGTAGCTTCTGAATTTCTATAGCTTATATTGTACAGTGGAGGGTGCAGTTAAGAAAAGTTTTCATCAAAGACATGGGACTATTTTTTTTTCCTCTCAAATGTGGAATAAGCCGAGTTTCAGTCATGTTTACTGGTTCCAATTTATGAACACAAGCAATTGCCTGGGTCATCTAATATTCTGTTAAATGAAAAATTATATATGTTGGATAATCCATTCACCTTCTTAATTCAGCAATACAAAATATTCCTCATGAGAGCTGATGATTTCACTTGGAACAATATTACATGCTGTTATCCATTACAAATACTATAGAAAATAGCATTCCCTCAGTCCGCAAGCCTATCACTTCATCGATCCAATAAATTTGTTTCATTGAATTTCATTACTGTATCTGATTAGAACATTGCCTAAAAACAATTAATTCACCTCACCTATGAATAGACAGTAAATTAAAACATGGTATCTGAACACTGCATTTCCTTTATTTAGAAGTGATAAAAGTTAAATCAATTTTAATGAACAATATTTGAATGAAAAATGTATAATCAGAAAGAAGTATGTATCCTTAAACTTTTATTAATATAAATGACTTTAATTTGTAGATGGAAATATAAAATTAATCTTTAACTTCCTGGACTATGGTAAAAATCTAAATTAAAGGTGTGTGATATCTAATACCCCAAATAAAATAGTCTACCTCCATCCTAGACTTTCAGCCCTCCTTTGAGAATACATGAAGTTATTAATTTTGTTCATGTTTATTCTAAAATTTGTAAAAATATGGATTCAGTTTAATGTGTATTCCATGTTATCCTTGTCAAAAGTCAAGTATGTTTTCATACTCCCTAGTGTTTCTATTCTAAAAAAAACAGACAGACACCCTAATTAAACATAAAGATTAATTACTATGTAATAACAATGATTATTCTTTTTTTTTGTTAAGTACCTAGCTTGTGACTATATGTTTGCTTAAGGTAAATGAAAAACTAATTGAAGTGAGACACCCCATCTTGAAGACTAATTAATTACATTTGTGTTTATCTTAAACTGTAGTATGGTTACTTACCACATTATACTTGACATTGGAATTATTCCATAAAGCCCAGACAAAACTTAATGTACCCAGTACTATTTAATCCAATATGT